GCTCCACTTGTAATCAGATCCCCTTCTAGTATGTAGCTCCTCTTGTGTTCATATCCCCTAGAGTGCGTAGCCCCTCTTGTAATCAAATCCCATAGAGTACGTAACTTCGCTTGTCATCAGATCCTTTTGCAGTATATAGCTGACCAAATCTCATTCCAGTATGTAACTCCTCTTGTGATCAGATCTCATTCCAGTAGATAGTTCCTCTTGTGACCAGATCTCATTCCAGTAGATAGTTCCTCTTGTGACCAGATTTCCTTCCAGTATGTAACTCCTCTTGTGATCAGATCTCATTCCAGTAGATAGTTCCTCTTGTGACCAGATCTCCTTCCAGTAGGTAGCTCCTTTTGTGATCAGATACCCTTCCAGTAGGTAGCTCCTCTTGTAATCAGATACCCTTCCAGTAGGTAGTTCCTCTTGTGATCAGATCTCCTTCCAGTAGGTAGTTCCTCTTATAATCAGATACCCTTCCAGTAGGTAGTTCCTCTTGTAATCAGATACCCTTCCAGTAGGTAGTTCCTCTTGTAATCAGATACCCTTCCAGTAGGTAGCTCCTTTTGTAATCAGATACCCTTCCAGTAGGTAGCTCCTCTTGTGATCAGATCTCCTTCCAGTAGGTAGTTCCTCTTGTAATCAGATACCCTTCCAGTAGGTAGTTCCTTTTGTAATCAGATACCCTTCCAGTAGGTAGCTCCTCTTGTGATCAGATCTCATTCCAGTAGGTAGCTCCTCTTGTGATCAGATCTCATTCCAGTAGGTAGTGCCTCTTGTGATCAGATCTCCTTCCAGTAGGTAGTGCCTCTTGTGATCAGATCTCCTTCCAGTAGGTAGCTCCTCTTGTGATCAGATCTCATTCCAGTAGGTAGTGCCTCTTGTGATCAGATCTCCTTCCAGTAGGTAGTGCCTCTTGTGATCAGATCTCCTTCCAGTAGGTAGTTCCTCTTGTAATCAGATACCATTCCAGTGCATTGTACCATTTGTGTTATAACTTTATTGACAGGATAGTTTTAAACCTAAGGTACTTAAAAATGTGTTATCCTTCCAGACATCATACTCGACATTTGGAAACTAAAACAAATAACATACCAAGATCATTCGAAGAAACACGTTTGTCTTCTATACAATTTATAGTTTTTCAAGAAGGGATTGTGAAGGTACACCAGTCGTGCCATTTATGAAAGACAAGTCTCATTTTTGTGTTGAGAGTGGATTTCGTAATGTGATTTTTTTAAACTTTTATTTCAAAATTGGATAAGTATATATTCAGTGGTTGTTACTGACTTACTTGTTCACGAAATGTGGCTCCTTTAATGAAATTGCTTCAGATAGACCCTCACAAAAACCATTCTGATTTGAAGAGATTCATGTTTCACTGGTCGTTACTAGCAGTATAGTGTAAATAACACAAATACACTTGTTCTATCTAGTAAATTAAAGTTGTACTTAAATTCATTTAAAATTCACCATTGTTTTCATTTAGTTGAAGATCGTTTTCATGTTGTTGTGCTTTTAAAAAATTCAATTATCACTAATTAAATATTAATTATCTCTCATCTAAACATCACAAAACCCTTGAATTCCGGCTATCTAAAAATCTATTTTTTATTATGATATTAACTCGTTAATGTAGACTTATTTTTATGGTTATTTTTTATTCTAGTGTAATTAATATTTATAAAAAAACTCAATTCTCTAAAATCTTCTGTTATGCCTCAGTTTACATAATGTAAAATATCAGTCTTTCTTAAGTTCTGATACGCTTGAACAATTATTTCAATTTACAGTATTTCCTCTTCTCCAGGAACAACATTTTTATTTTTGTCATTATGTTTCACTATGCTTGTTTGTTGAATTCCCCACAAAGCTACTCGAGAGTTATTTGTGCTGGCCATCCCTAGTTTTAAAATGGTAGACTAAAGAGAATGCAGCTAGTCAACACCACATACCGCCAATACTGGGGCTATTCTTTACAAATAAATAATTCGATTGCTGTCACATTATAACACCCTCATTGCTGAATGGGCAAGCATGTTCGTTAGGGGATTCGAACCCGCAACCCACAGACTAAGAGTCGAGTGCCCTAACCATCAGATCATTCTAGGCTCGTTTCACACTGAAAATAAATGTTGATGATACTTCATAGTTTGGGCAATCAGATTTTTTTTTTTATCTTCAGAAGTTTCTTCTGTTCTGAAAGTTTCCTTGATGAAATCTGGGATGATTTGACTCTGTCTTTCTTTTCGAGGGTCTTAAGCTTACTCTCTTTTAAATTGAGGTTCGCTGGCTCAGTACTTTGGGTAATATTGTGTATGCTTCGTATCAGTTTAGGTTAGGTTTGATAAGGCCAGAGTGAAGGTTTTAACCCAACGTATTCCTTCCCACACTCAAAGGGGTAATTTTATAAAGCGTCAAACATGAAATGAGAAAATAGAATACGTCACATAGAAATCACTTGGTTTCCATCAAATCCACAAAAGAATAGCGATATTTCATGTCGCACTTTGATCCTGCTTGTATAGTTCCAAGTGGTGCGGATAATACCAAGATCCGTTTCATTCTGTTTAGACTTAGTTCAGTATACGCGCCCACCACTCATGTTAAGATAGTTGCCTAACAACTAACAGCTCCTTTAGTGATATTATCACTGGTCTTCTGGCTGTACACTGTCTCATTGTTTCTATAGTTTCACTATACAGTGCTTCGGTTTCCATTACTTCTAAATGTCTATGAAGACCTTCCGTAGTGTCCACTTCACCTTATGTCTATGCAGACCTTCCGTAGTGTCCACTTCACGTTATGTCTATGAAGACCTACCGTAGTGTCCCCTTCACCTTATGTCTATGAAGACCTTCCGTAGTGTCCACTTCACCTTATGTCTATGAAGACCTTCCGTAGTGTCCACTTCACGTTATGTCTATGAAGACTTTCCGTAGTGTCCCCTTCACCTTATGTCTATGAAGACCTTCCGTAGTGTCCCCTTTGTCTATGAAGACCTTCCGTAGTGTCCCCTTCACCTTATGTCTATGCAGACCTTCCGTAGTGTCCACTTCACCTTATGTCTATGAAGACCTTCCGTAGTGTCCCCTTCACCTTATGTCTATGAAGACCTTCCGTAGTGTCCCCTTCACCTTATGTCTATGAAGACCTTCCGTAGTGTCCCCTTCACCTTATGTCTATGAAGACCTTCCGTAGTGTCCACTTCTCCTTATCACTGCGGGGCTTTTGACTGAAATAGTTTTAAGATGTATAACAGGAACGTTTCCTTTTTGATTGAAACAGTTTGAAAATGTGTCACAGGAACGTTTCCTTTTTGATTGAAACAGTTTGAAGATGTGTAACAGGAACGTTTCGTTTTTGATCGAAATAGTTTGAAAATGTGTAACAGGAGGGTTCCTTTTTGATTGAAACCATTTGAAGATGTGTAACAGAAAGTTTCCGTTTTGACTGAAACCGTTTGAAGATGTGTAATAGGAACGTTTCCTGTTTGATTGAAGCAGTTTGAAGATGTGCAACAGGAAGTTTATTTTTGACTGAAACGGTTTGAAGATGTGTAACAGGAACGTTTCCTGTTTGATTGAAATCGTTTGAAGATGTGCAACAGGAAGCTTATTTTTGACTGAAACGGTTTGAAGATGTGTAATAGGAACGTTTCCTTTTTATTTAAATAACTTGAAGATGTGTAATAGGAACGTTTCCTGTTTGATTGAAGCAGTTTGAAGATGTGCAACAGGAAGATTATTTTTAGACTGAAACGGTTTGAAGATGTGTAATAGGAACGTTTCCTTTTTATTTAAATAACTTGAAGATGTGTAATAGGAACGTTTCCTGTTTGATTGAAGCAGTTTGAAGATGTGCAACAGGAAGATTATTTTTTGACTGAAACGGTTTGAAGATGTGTAACAGGAACGTTTCCTGTTTGATTGAAATCGTTTGAAGATGTGCAACAGGAAGCTTATTTTTGACTGAAACAGTTTGAATACGTGTAATAGGAACAGTTTGAATTTTTAAAATATGATACTTAGTTTATAAACAATATGTATATGAAAAACCTGCATCATTGCTAAGACTTTATTTTTTTTTGTATTCAAGTATTTTCGTCATATTTTCAAGAAGTAAAATAGTTAGTTAATTCTGTTCCATATTCAAACGGTCATAAACCATCAGTGTGTATAAAATAGCTATTTAGCGTGATTTATCTAGAGAGTTACTGTAATAGTACTGTACTTATTTGTAGATGTCGTGTGTTCCAAGCAAACATAACCAAGAGATGTTCCAGTCTTGAAGTTTCATAATATTTAATTCATTATAATACAGTACCTATGTACAGAAACTCCTACACACAAACTCATTTATATATATATATAGACAAACACAGTCAAGTGATACAATATTTATTTTAAAGTGAATACAATACATTTCTATTTATATATCTATATATACCGGTTCATATATTTCTATTGCATATAATATATATATTACTTTGTGTTTAGTGTGTGTTTAAATATCAATAAGATAACATATTATATCTTTACTAAACAGTTATGTTTAGTTGCAGTATGTTTTAAACGTATGAAAATAATTCTTTTTTTTGCTCAGGTTTGATTGATTTCTCACCACTTTAGACGAGAAAGTTGTTATCAAATCCTTAGGTAAGCCTAAAACGAAAGTAAAATACGTTTTGAGGCCTGAGGTCGTTCTTTCGATATCGAATGCACAGGATTTTTAACCCATGAAATTCCTAAAAAAATTAATAGCAGAATTTAAAAAGTTGAAGAAGTTTGATTGCCTCGGGTTATTTCTACCCGTTGGTGGCCGAGGGTTGCTTATGACGTTGTTATTATTGTTGTTGTTAGAGCTTCCTGATTGGGCACTATTAGAAACACAGCTGCCTTCTCGACACCACTGTAAAGACAAAGAAAACTTTACTTCGTTGTTATTCAGCAGACATTCAAATTAGGTCGTTTTACAAATGTCAGATGACTTCCAAATCATATTCAAAATCAGTAATTGATGGTGTACGCATTAATGTTTAAAATTTCAACAATGACTCGAAGTTTTACCTTTTCCTGTAGTTAAAATCACATAATATGGTAACAGTTTTATAACAAACTAGGCCTACTATTTACTCTTCACATAACAGTTCAAATACACTTTATACCAACTTAAGCCTACTTTTTGATATTGACATAAACTTAATATACGTAGTAAGAATAGTCTTGTAACTAACTTGCAAACATTACAAATATTATCTTTATTGTGAGTTTTACCATCAAACTTTTTCTGGTTATTTCCTGAACAAAATAGGAAAATTGTTAAAAACTACGTAAGAAGTAGACGAACAAAGTGGTCAACATTTTAAGCCAAACGATGAACAATGTTCTAAAGGAATTTAGTTTTTGTTTTTTCAATACATCGAATATCATATTTTTATTTCCGTATGTAATATTTGTTTCAGTTTTTGCCAAACAGTAGCTGGTGTGGTTTATTACGCAAGCTTTTATATACACTTTAATTCTTTACAAATAGTTTTCATCATTTGCTAACGCTCAAAACTGGGACATTTGTGCATAATTATTCTCTGTAATCCTACCATTCTCTACAGGCTATGATCAAACAAACACCTTTAACTATTTAAAACTAACAAAACTGATTTAATAAACTACCTTAACTATCTAAACTAACAAAACTGATCAAACAAACTACCTTAACTATCTAAAACTAACAAAACTGATTAACAAACAACCTTAACTATCTAAAACTAATAAACTGATCAAACAAACAACTTTATCTAAAAATGTATTTTGGTTTGTGTGCTTTTCCGTTGTGTGTTTAAACTAACCAATATATCTGATCATACTATATCATGCTTGTTTTGTGCTACATAGAACGTGTGCAAAGAATTATGGTGCAGACGGAGTAGCTGGGCGCAAGCAGCTCATCCAGCCCTGGACGGTAGCCCTTGTGGTAATGGAAAGGTGAGATAATCCTAACATGTGTAGTTTTGACTGTTGGCCTTGTGGTAACGGTAGCCCATTTAAGTAGTCTAAGTTTCTTGTTTAATCAGTTTATTAGTTTTAGACAGTTAAAGTTGTTTGTTTAATCAGTTTTGTTAGTTTTAGATAGTTAAAGTTGTTTGTTTAATCAGTTTATTAGTTTTAGATAGTTTATTGTTGTTTGTTTAACCAGTTTTGTTATTTTTAGATAGTTTATTGTTGTTTGTTTAACCAGTTTTGTTATTTTTGTTACATATAAATACATGACAACCTAAACACACACAAAAACACATTTTACTACACAACGTCTATATACATGACAATAACAACATACACTAAACACATTTGGCTACACAACATCTAAATACATGACAATCTAAACACACACAAAATACATTTGGCTATACAAATATCATGTTAGTAAACAATGTTTAATACACGGTGATGTTATTATACTGTGTTTAACACACAGTGATGTTAGTAAACTATGTTTAACACACAGATGTTAGTAAGCACTATGTTCAACACTGTGATGTTAGTAAGCACTATGTTCAACACTGAGATGTTAGTAAACACTATGTTTAACACACTGATGTGTTAGTAAACACTATATTTAGCACACTGTGATGTTAGTAAACACTATGTTTAACACACTGTGATGTTAGTAAACACTATGTTTAACACACTGTGATGTTAGTAAACACTATGTTTAACACTGTGGTGTTAGTAAACACTATGTTCAACACTGTGGTGTTAGTAAACACTATGTTCAACACACTGTGATGTTAGTAAACACTATGTTCAACACACTGTGATGTTAGTAAACACTATTTTCAACACACCCTGATATTAGTAAATACTATGTTTAACACACTGTAATGTTACTAAATGGTATTGTTACAACAACGCAGGTCACGTGACGCTTGTATCACGCCACTTCCTTCTCGAACCTTCATGAAATATCGGGAGTTTACTAGATCTCGGTATTCTTTTATATATAAGACGGTCACAACGTGACGGAGGCAATGTAATGAGTAATTGAATGTATGGGGACAGAATATTGTTGAGCATGTGAGAAGTTCGTTGTGAATTATAGGGTTTGTTATAGAGCGACTGTTGAAATTAAGTGTATCATAAAG